TCCGCACAGCACTCAACGCGGGCGCACTTATTTTTGTGCGGACCGCGTGAGTGAGTTCTGGGGCCTGCAACCCCTATAGACCTGCTACAACTATGATTTTTGCAGTAAAACATCCCGGAACCTACCCGGAACTCCCAGAACTTCGAACCAATTGCACCAACACATTCCATGACATCGTTCAGACTTGCTCAAAACTTCGGAACGCTCACAACAACATCAAATCACCAATTTAACATAGGATTCAAGCCTAAGAACTCCAAGAACTCTTAAATTATGTTTTCGATCAAAAGGTCTATCAAATCTAGTCTGAATGGCCTGAAATTTTGCACACACATCCCAAATGACAAAATAAAACTACTGCAACTCTCGGAATTCTATTCTGACCCCAATATCAAAATCTCGCCTATCAACCGGAATTTGCCGAAATATTAATTTCGCCAATTCAAGCCTAAATCTTATCTACAACTCCAAAACTCATTCCGATCGCGCTCCTAGGTCACAAATCACCTCCCGAAGCTAACTGAACCATCGGAACTCACTTCCGAGCCTTCTAACACATAAGTCAACATCCGGTTAATTTTTCCAACTTAAGCCTTCTTAAAAGAGACTAAGTGTTTCATTTCTGACCAAATCCTCTACGGACTCGAACTAATCAACTCGATCACATAAAACACGGATAACGAAGCGTAAAGAAGCTGAAATGGGGGAAACGAAGCGGTAACTCATGAGAGGACTGGCCGGGTCGTCACATCTAGAAAATAAATTTAACTTAAGTATATACTGACAATTTAATTGATCATTTTTATATTTTTTATAGTTTAACTTGTTATAATAAATTATTACAATTTAGACTTATTATAAAGTGTTATATATTTTTTTACAAACTATCACATGTTATTATAAGTCATCTTAATCAAATTACTAGTAAAATTATACATTATCCTTGCGCCCCAAAAACTCTTTAACATAGGTTTCTCGTTCGAATCAATACCAAGTTAGTGAAGTTAGTCGTCCAAAAGAAACACTCCCTTTGTATTATGAGTTTTTTTTCCAATACCAAACCAAATCCAACCAAATCATAATCGAGTTTTCTTTTCTCGATTTGACTCAAATTATCGAATTGGTGCGATTTGTCGGTTTAATTTGTACACCACTAACTACAACAAAAAGGGATTCAATTTTGCTATAAAATCTTGTGCCGTGGAGTGGATCTTACTCTGCCGTATAGCGACAAACCTGAATCCCACTCTTCAATGTAAGGTTTTTTATCTAATATTATGAGTACTAATGTAGATAATCCTGATATTACGACTCGAACGTGTGAGCTACGCATATAAATTAATTTTCATACACAGTGAGTGTATATATAAGATAAACCCTTTTCCTACACCGTTGGCTTGTATTACTTGCTTATCTTTCGAATCATAAAAATCTCTTATCCTTCTCGGCCCAAACTCTTTCTCTCCTTCTTCCTGAGAGCTTTTCTTAAAAATGGAAGAAGTTCAAATCATCTCCACCTCTTTAGTTGGAACAACATCAAATATATTAAACTCAGAAAATAATATTTCTAAAATTGAAATGACACCATGGGATTTACAATTCCTCCTTCTTGACACTATCCAAAAAGGCCTCCTTTTTCACAAACCAAAAGAAAATACGTCATTCATTGAACACATAAAAACATCCCTTTCTCGTACCTTAAACTTTTTTCCTCCATTATCCGGCCGTTTCTCCACCGTTAGAAACGCCGATGACGACACAATTTCTATCGTCATCGACTGTAATAACGCCGGCGTGGAATTCACCCACGCCGTCGCTCCATTATTAACTGTATCTGCAATTCTTGAATCAGTACACGTACCTCCTATTATTCACACACTTTTCCCACTCAATAACGTCCGCAATTTCGAATGTGTATCTAAACCGTTACTTGGCGTTCAAGTAACAGAACTAATCGATGGGTATTTTATTGGTTGCGCTATGAATCATAGCTTAGGAGATGGGACTTGTTTTTGGCATTTTTTCAATTCTTGGTCTGAAATTTCTCGTGGGTATGAAATAATTTCCAAGATTCCAGTTTTAAACCGTTGGTTTCCAGAGAATATGAATCTTCCAATTCATCTTCCATTAAAGCTAGACGATGAGAAATTGTTTGAAGTCTTTGAAATTCCACATTTGAAGGAAAGGATTTTTCATCTTAGTAAAGAAAGTATAGCTAAACTCAAAGGAAAAGCCAATTCTGAAATGGAGACTAAATCTATTTCTTCTTTGCAAGCTTTCTTGGCTCATCTATGGAGATCTGTGACTCGTTCTCGTAAGCTGGATGCTAAGGAAGAAGTCGTTATCGGCCTTATCATAGGTTAGTATATTTTAATTTAACTAGTTTTAGCATACACGCACCTCGTGTTAATGAAAAATAAAATTTTATAAATAAAATAAATAATATTCAAAAATATGTTTATGTTATTATATAAAATTAAGAGTAGTTCTTGCTTAAGAGTTTGATCTAGTCTAATAGTTCTTCCTTCACTTGTTTCTCTTGCTTGCTTTATTGTACAAAAAAAGTTATAGGAGTACCGTTTGATTGAAAGACAAAAAAATCATTCAACTTTACTTGAGGACTTGGGTACATACATTGCATGTATATTTCATGTTACTTATTAAAATTTTTATGTAAGATAGTTTACCAACAATTATTTTTTTTTATCTTTACTCATTTTACGGTACTGCTAAAGTTATAACCTTATTCTATTGATAACTTAATAATCATATAGGCATCCGAACTCGATTATTATTAACAATTTTTATATTATTTTTTTTGCTCAATTATTATCTTATTTTACCTATAATTTCTTTCTAAAGTACTTTTACTCGCGACCAATTACATATATATATTTTTTTTCTATTCCTATTTTTGTGTACAAAATATATATTGATCAACTTATTCTACCATTTAAAATAATGTCACATTTAAAAAAGATTATCATTTGATCATTTCTTAATATTTAGACAATAAAAATAGACAAAACTTGTAAGTATATTTCAAATTCTACGTCCTTATTGTTAAAAGAAAATAGAATGTCACAATTGCTTTTTAAAGTCTAAATTCATGCCACCTTAATATGAATTATCATTAATGTTTTCATTTTTTAAAAATCAAAACTATGACTTAAATGCTCTATTTCTTACGTGCCTTTTTAAATATTAGGCATAAAATTGAAGGATCGGTTATTTACTTTAATTTTATTTAAAACACACGTTATTTACTTTTTTTTCACAGAATATATATCCATGAAAGCAACATGTAAGAATTATAATTATGTGACATATATAATTCAAATAAGGAAAATATTTAAGTTAGGTAAAGCTTTAATTGACTTTAAAGTCCTAAATTTTAGGGTTTCCTACCTAGTTCAATGGAAAATAATTTAATAACAAAATTTTTAGTCAATTTCAAAGAACAAAATATCAGGAGAATAATTAAATGACTATTTTGTCTAGTGTGAACTCCAATTTTAAAGGGTAAATAAGGCGAACGACATTTCGCTAAGGGCTTTCGTGCTTTTAATATAGTATAGATTATGGATTCAATAATGCTCGTGGGGTCCACATTTTTGTCTTTAATCAAGCACGTCAATTTTTGTTTGAGTGGCAGTGAAACTTGAACTCACTACTTATTACTAATCTATAGAAAAATAATATTATATATATATATATGCTAGTATCTATCAACGTACGTTACACATTAATAATGACACGTTATGATTTAAATATTTATTTATATAAAGGAACAATAATATAATAATATAACAATTATCTAAATGTCGAAAAATATTATTACATTAACATAATACATGAATTTAAAAATAAAAGGACATGATCAAAACTTATACAAATGATCAATTTTGTCATGTTAGTTTGATAATTATGTATTATAATTTAAAAGTATTTATGTGATGGTATCTTAACCAACACTTCTTTGTGGACAATATTTTTTGTGTATGTTTCCTCCTAGTGCTTCAGTTGCTCTGCTTTAACCTGAACTTTTGTTGTCGATTTTGATATCCCTCTTGAAACATACAGTTATTTGTGCAAGAAAACATATTGCGGTAAATATAGTCCATTATTTAGGATGTTTGTCCTTGTGCTTTATTTATTATATTTGCAAAATAGAAACATACTAAAATTATTTTCACACAAATTTAAAAGGATATTCCTTAGTTTCGAAAGACGAAAGTTGAATTCAGGGATAAAAATATACTTAGAAGCACATTGACCATTATCATAATTTTTGCATGTATGCCGTTATTGTCAAAACTTCTATATACCATTTGTGTGCTATTACATAAGCTATTCGGCGTATCTAAGTTTTTCAGTAGTATGACAGATAATATTTTCTTCCAAATCAACATATATACAATGGAAGATCAATTTTAATTTAGTCTATTATATGTACGGTGACACTAACATACATAAGAAATAATAAATTTGACAACAAACAAGTATGGTAGAAGGCCATTTGGTATTAAAGTATTTAAGTATTCTTCTTGGTAGTAATTATTAGTATCATTTTCTTCTAAGTCAGAAACGGAAAAATATTTTATTTTACTATAAATTTTGCAATCAACCTTTTATTTAGTCGATCAACATATTCATTTCTACTAGCTAAAATATTTTTTAATTCGATCATGTGATTTGCACAAATTGCGTTTTAATCTAATGATAGAAATATTTCTCTTATTAAATGCACTACTATTACCATTGGGATTGATAACCAAGTGTTCATGAAGACCCAAATCATCTTTTATTGAATGCTCATCTTCGTTTCTGAAACGAAATGAGAAGAGACTGAATACTGAATCTGTTCTTGCTTTATATTTCTTGTTAGTTGAATCTTTTTAATTTGAGACCAGAAATATAACTTTGCCAAGCTAGCTTTTATAGTCTCTTCTTTTATCGATTTTGGAACTGCTGGTAGTACTTGACATATATTACCTCCCAAACCATTAATTTTCTATCAAACAGTTCATTAATATCCAATATATCTCTAAAACTCTGGGCAATTATTTCGATATCGTTTTACATTTAGCCATAAGTACTTCATCCCAAATTATCAATTTTGCTTTCCTTATAAATTTAGCATCATTGCTCTGATTGATATATTTGTGATGGTTATTTACGTTGTTTGAAGAGGTATATCAAATCTAAAGTGGGTGATCTCACAATAAAATCTTTGTTGGTTAGCATCATTGCTCTGCTTTGATATATTTGTGATGGTTATTTAAGTTATTTGAATAGGTATACCAAATCTAAAGTGGGTGATCTCACAATAAAATCGTTGGTACACCACTTGCTATTATTACTAACAATGTCATGCATCTTGATATGATATTTGCAAGTAATGCATGACATAGAATATTATTTCAATTCCGTCGGAGGTATCTACAAAGAATATTCTCATTATAGCATAGTCGACTCTTTATAATATAGTCCTAAAAGCTTGTTCTTTTTTTGGATTTAGCTTTGATTGTGCTTCTTTAGTCACTTGTATAGCATTTTGATTCTTAATAATATACTAACATTTTTACTTTATGTTCTAACACTTTTTTATGAAATAAATTTATGTACCCTAAGATTTTTTTAACTTAAATGAGAATTTTACTCATATGATGAATTTTAAAAATAATTGAATTGGATTCTCTTGCTAAATAAAATTAAAAGATTTAATTATTTAGTTTTAACATAAAAATTAATTTATTCTATGTTGATTCAGATCTTAATATTAGTTTATCTCTTGTTTTGAATATTTAATCTTAATTTATCCACCATAAATTTTATTTTCAAAGAATAAAATATTGATATGACATTTCACTTTTAGATCCTTATGTTTGTAGAATCATTAGTAGTATTGACTCTTACCAACCATTTTTTTCTCTTTCTCACACATTTATATTCTTAAATATTTTCTTAGTTGTTGTTTAATAATTGGGTATTTTCTAATATTACACGAAAAATTGACAAAAAGAATATATTATTTGAGTAGGAATATAGTTCAAATATAATATAAAAATATATTACCGTGGAGGTATTTCCCCCCTCAATTTCAATACTTTATGCGGTCCATTTAATATTAATTTTTTTTTGGTATTGGACATTATGGAGTGATAATGTATTGCTAATATGTATGATTCTTATGAAATTGATTTTATTAAACCTTCCTACATATTTTTAGTAAGTATTTAATATACCAAATTTTATTAATTTTAAAATATTAAATATTACAAATTAGCATATAAGGTATTGTAGTCCAGAAATGGAAACAAGCGCTGATACTCTATGTAGTTGGAGGTGCACCAACTATAGGAGCTATGGAGCGATTCATAGCATCAACGTGAAATTTTACAACAAAGCCAAAAGTCTATCTGCATAATGATGGATATTTTGTTGTAAGATTTAACTCTATTAGCGACAGGGATGAAGTTCTGTATTCTGGTCCCCATATGCTGAATAACAAACCAATTATCATGAGAGTATGGTCAGCTGAAGTTGATTTTAACAAGAAAGTGTTGCAGATTATTCCAATATGGGTTAAGTACCCTAAACTTCCTCTCAATTGTTGGGGAGCAACATCACTAAGCAGGATAAGTAGTGGATTAACGATTCCTCTATATGCAGATGCATGTACCACTCAGTTGGATCGAATTTCCTATGCTAGAGTACTAATTGAAATGGATGTAACTAAAGCTCTCCCAAAAGCTGTAAAAGTAATAGATCCTAATGGAAGGGAATTTATGCAATAGGTGACATATGACTGCGTTCATGAATTTTGTCATACTTGCATGCAAGTAGGGCACCAATGTCACAAAGAACAACCAACACATAAAGCCAAAACAAACCAGCAGAAGCAGAAGCAAGAATGGCAGCCAAAGTGAATCAGAATGATAAGGGGAATCAGCAAAACATAGTAACTAATAACAGTAAGACTATGCTTAATGAGGAAAAAAGTACTTGTGAGATGATACTAGATGCAGGAGAGCAGGAACAAGTATGGAAAAAAGCTACAGGAAAATCAGTGATTAGAAGCAGGGAGAAGCCAGATGGTGGAACCATTAGCATGATAAATGGTTTCAACATACTGGCAGAATCTGGATTCCAGCTAACCTATCACAGACAAATGGGAGAGGGCACAAGTAGTCAAAGGAGTCAAGAAGAAGTAGAAGGGGGCCACAATCTCTATTTATCCCTGTATGATGCTTACTACATGGAACATTAGGGGTATGAACAAGATCCCTAGGCAGAAAGAGGTCGAGAGGTTCATAAGAAGTAATAGAGTAAAAATGATAGTACTATTAGAACACA